TGTAATGTATGGGGATTAACATAAGAATAAAAAATAAAAAAAATTTAAAAAAATTTAAAAATTTAAAAATTTAAAAATAAATAAATAAATAAATAAATATGCCAAAGAAAAAATGAAAATAAATAACTCAGTTACCAGATAAACAACCTGGAACTTAAAGCAACAAATGGAATGTCCACCAAGGAAAAGCCTCTTGGTTTCCATATATAAAGACTTTCTTGGGAAGAACCACCAGTTCTGAAGTTCTTCTTATGTATGAAAAGACTAAGAATCTTTCTCAATAGCATTTTAGTAAATCTTTGAAGAATCCTGAGGAACTATGGGGCCAGGATGAAGCCAAAGGTAGAGAATTTAAGTATTGTGCTCGTGACAAGGCCTTTTCGAGTCACAAAGAGGGCTTCTCAGACCTTAATCCTCTCTGATAACCTCTCAAGGAACCACAGTGTTGCTGGATTAACCTCTTAGATTATTGAGAATTAAGTAAAAAGATGTGTTGGGTTTTATTTATTCCCCCTAAAAAAATTCCTACTTGGCTGCATGAGAAATGACTACTATGTTCTTTCCTATAGAGTTCATGCAAATTTTAAGGATAAGAGTCATGCTAATAAATAAAACCTGGCCTACCACAGAGTTCCTTGGCTCATTTCCATAGGCATGCTAGAATTAGGCAGGCTAGAATTTGAACATACAGCCCTGCATATTTTGGGTTTACATGGAGCCTGCTTTTGCTTCCAGCTCCTCAGGCACTCTGACCCTGCAAAGAAACCATTTCTAAATTCACCTAAACAATGTTATCAAGTAGGACTGAAATGAAGTTCAGTCTCCTCACAGTAGTACCTTTCCTCAGTTTCCAACTTCTTCACAGAAGCTACTCCCAGGGAAACCACATTGTCTCCCCTAGATAGTCCCTTGTCTTTTGTCCAAGTACCACACTGGTAAATATGCCTGGAGTGAGCCACTGTTATGAATAAACTTTGCCCTGAAGGGTTTCCAGGAAATAAACATGAATGTTGCCCTGAAAAACATATGTACAGGAGTCCATATATTGCAAAGACTTGTAAATAATGAAATGAATTTTTTAAAGCTCATCAGTTATCTGTGGTTCTCTGGCATCTTGTGGAGGATCCTTCAAAGATTTACTAAATTTATCAAATCCAATCATGTGGAGAATAGCCCCAAGGCATGGCTGCCCTCTCAGAGACAACAACCAAAAAATATCTTCTCCCCTGGTTACAGATGCCCAGGGGCCAAGTGCCCCAAGAGCTGGACAATCCAGCTGCTCACTTGGACCACACATTTTAGGTGAAGCCCAAACTATCCAACAGGGAGGTGGAAAAAAAGAGGTAAGTCCACTAGCTGATGATGACAGCACTTAAGGGACTTAGTGTTTCTCCTCCACAACAGTTCCTGAACACTGTGGCCACACTGCGGTATCTTTTTCCCCATTCAAATTTGCTTTTAATACTCATTGTAGCCCAACTTCACACATATAAACAGTATTTCTATAGGGAACAGAAGCTAATTATTTGCCCCAGTGCCACTGCTGTTGAGAGAGTGTTATCCTAAGATATAAATCCACTTAGAGCCAAGCCAACCAAATTCATTTTAAAAGCAAATTATTCCTAAGAAGTCTTATATTTGCCATGGTGTCAAACTGCTTGAGCAATTAAAAAGTAAATAAACCAACCTAGACTCCCTTCCCTTAGTGAGCTGAAAATAGCTCTTGAAGTATTTTTCAAGAATCAAAGAATGAAAGATGAAGCACCAGCCTGCATCAAGTGCTGAGTAGGATCTGTGACTGATTTGCACAGCCCTAATCCCTGGCTACCCATTCAGCAAAGGCAAGACACTTCCTTACAGGACAAAGAGAGGCTCGGCCCTCCAGAACTTGTATCTGAGTCATTGAAGATACCAGCTGATGGCCTAAAACACATGGAGAACCACCCAGGTAGATAAATCCGTGCATTGTAAAATAATATATAAATAGGAGGATAGAGCTAAGAGTCAGGGTCCATGATTTGGGGGAGGAGGCAGGAACAGGAAAAATTGTATTTTCAGCCACCAAAACTACCAAATTGTCTGTATCCTCCCTTCTCTTTTTTATAGAACAGGTGCCCCCGTCCTGGGGCTAATTCCTCCACAGGTGGTCTGGAACTTTCCTCTCCCTCTCAGGGGACTCTCTGTCTCAGTTATCCCTCTCATAGCTTGACCTCTCCCTACTGGCTCCTTCTCAGTTGCATCTAAATACTCCCAACCCTCTTCTAACGCTAAAAAGTTAACTAGAAAGAATAAAGAAGAAAAGAAATCTAAATCTGCTATCTCTCCTGTGCCCTTCTAGCTACTGCCCTGTCTCACTGTCCTCACACATTTGTCCACCTGTTCACCTCCTACTCACTCATCAGCCCACTGAAGTATGGCTTCCTTCACCAATATTCTTCTTCAACTGCTTTTGCTAAGATAAACACCCCTCCTCTTATAAATTCCAAAGGAAACTTTCCATCTGTGTTTCCCTTGACCTCTAACTTGCACTAGACACATGTGACCACTACCTCCTTGAAATCCTCTCTTCCCCACTCTCCTGCACCCCACACTCCCATTTTTTTCCTGCTTCTCTGGTTGCCCCTTCTCTCCTTTGGCCATTTCTCTTCCCCTGCCCATATTTGACATATCCCATTCCTAGGAGATCTGCTCTTGGTCCAATTCTCATTCCACAGCCTCTTAGTGGATGAACACTCATGGCTGAAATTATGGGCTGTATGTCAACTTCCAAATCCTTATTTCCAGGCTTGATATTTCTGCAGAATTTCTGATCTGAGTATCCCCACTGTGTACTCCACGTCTCCACTTGATCCCAGAGACACATCAAGCTCAACATGTCCAAAATGAAATTCACTCTTTCCCCTAAAGATGTTCCTCTTCTTATGCTCCCTATGTCAGAAAATGGCCCCACCATATGTAATTGGTTGCTTAAGTTAGAAAAATTGGCATCATCCTTGTTTTCTTTCTTTTCTTCAGTCTATGTAATAAGTTACCAAGTCCTACTGAGTCTATCCACTAAATAATATTTTCAATCCGTTACTCCTTTCTATTTCCACTGCCCATATTGAGGCTAACCAGCATCTCTGACAGCGATCACAGTAACAAATCCCAAATATCCTCACAGCTTCCAGACTGAAGTCCTTCTAACCCATACTCTACATCATCACCAGATTGATCTCTCTAAAACAAAATTTTGACCTTCCTTCCACATTACACACACTTATACTTCTTTGTAGATTACCCCCAGTGCCTCAGAGTAGAATCAAACTCTCTACAAAGGCCTTTAAGGTCTTTGAGAACTGATGATCTGGCCCTGCCTCCTCTCTATAGCCTCAGCCATGTCCACTTGCTCCCTTCCACTCAGGACCCATCCACACTAAATCAATCTCAGATCCCAACTTATGCTTTGCTTGCTCTCTCTACAACTCTAGAAGCAATGTCCTTCCCCTGTGTCCTTACAGTGCCCTATACTTCTTGCCCCCTAGTACTTTGCTCCTTGTTTCTTAACTCGTGGGCTACAATCTCCATAAAAGACAATCATGTTCTTTGTCATGTTCATCATTGTATTCCCAGCACTTTGACAGTGCCTAAAATGCAGTGGGTTATTGATAAATATTTTGATTAATCAATTGGCTGAGTAATTAAATGAAAACGAAGCTCGATATATCAATAGCTAAATGACAAGTCAAATACGCGAAGTTTGTTCCAGGAAGGAATTATCTTTTTTTATTTATTTTCCCGTACATTGCCTGAGGTTCCATTTCATAATTATAAGACAACAAGCCATTTACTAAATGTGCTAGGAAGCCAGTGACCAATATTTTGGCATAGAGACCTCATAAGGGAAAGGACTGTATCTTTTCTCACCGTGCCAAAAAAAGGCCCATCCTAAAGTCTTTTTGGAAATAACATGAATGCTGCAATAACAGGGAAGTGTTCCAAGAGTTGGAGGGAAATATTTCTCTCTTTTCCAAATACCCTAAACTAGGATTCAGAATGATTTATGTCCTCAGATATTAGTGAAGAAGTTAGCAACAATTTGTCATCTCTTGATTGTACCTGCTACCAGTTGATGGCTGAAAAGGGAAAGTTGAGGAATGCCTCTATGGATATCAGCACAGAACCCAGTTCAAACATTCCCAGACAGTTTGGGGGGTTGAGGAATAACTCACAGACACGTAGTCTGGGCCAACCTCCAAAGCAAATTATTTATCAAAAGTAGAGGTTTCCAAGGAACGTGTGTGCATGTGTGCATGGGGCATGTTTATGTGTGCGTGCAAGCATGTTGTGTACATCTGTGAGTAGGCGTGTGATTTACTGAAGCTTAAAAGTGAGCTGAGATTCCTTGAACACATAATCAGGTTATACCACTCCCACCGCTACACTAGAATAACCACTACACACACACACATCACATATATATTCATACAAAACATAGGGAGTCCACTTACTTAACCCTTAAATTACCTCCAACAACAGCAAGGTTGATACTATTTTCTCCATTTTACAGGAGATTAAAACCTAAAAGCCTAAGGTTCTTCAATAAGTCAAAAAAGGCAGGCAGGACTTGAACCTTGGCTATCCAATAACAAGGCCAGCCCTCCTTCCACTACACATTCCCCCCTCCTCGTTGTCATTCTCCTCCTCCTGGTTACCAGAAATGTCGGTGAGAGTGATTCTGTTTTACGATAAGCTACCCTGATAAAAATGCTTCAACGATGATTTCTGAGATGTCTGAGCTAAAAATGTACAGATTTCACAGGACAAAGAATGTGCCAAAGTGTGATTGCACAATCAAAGCACTACAAGCAAGCAAGGAGGCCAAATGTGTGCTGGAAAAACTACAGATGTCATCTGGGAATGCTCAGAGCTTTGGGTTTTCAAGCTAAGACCGGAACCACAGACTTATAAGGCGAAACCAAGGCCATGACTTCCTCAGCTGAATCAACCTGACACACACCGCCTGTTCCCTGAGCTCACTGGGATTCCACTGGCTGAGCGTCAGCCCCGTCATGGAAAGAACAGCAGAGCTGGGGAGGATTGGATTGGTCCCCATCCTGAACTAGATCAAAAACACCCACCTTGTCATAAAGCTGCTATGAGCCTTGCAGTGGGAAGACTGGGGAGGCGACACACTAGGGTCAGGAGTGGGGAAATTTAGGCTCCCCAGAGGAATTAGTCACAAAGTCTTATCCCTTCATCTCCATTTACAGCCACTTATTTGGAAGCAACAAGCTCTAAAAGGGTGAAAAACAAAGCACCCCCACCCGCCCAGCATGTGCTCTCAAGCTCACAGGAAGGATTCTTCTCATTTGCTTTGGGGCATACAGGCTGCCTGCTAACAGCTGCATCTTCCCAAGGACAAATCACGTGGTGAATGTTCCACAGAAGGACAGGGCTCCAGGGAACAAAATCAGCCATTTACTCGACTCACTTCACTAGACCTGATCCCATTATACCAAAACTCTAGGAGAAGAAAAGAAACTCAGCAGAAACCAGCTACACAAATCTGCACAAAGAGGACCTCTTGGTTGTGAGAAGTCACAGTAACCAGTGGTTGAGAAATGATGAAAAGGTATGAGACCATGAAGTCAAGGACGCAAGAATGCTTCAGAAAATGGAATGTTAACACTGTCGCCAAGTAACTTTCCTTCCAAGTATTGATTACTCTCTACAGATTATGGAAAATATTTGTCTGAGATGTTATTTCAACTGCTCTCATTTTCAGCTAGCAAGTAGAATGGAGCGATAGTGAACCATGTGTTCCTAATTTTCCCCCAGAAGTAAGTTATTGATATAGGAATGTTAAAGTGCTAGGAAGAGAATGAGGAAATTTTCATAAGGAACCCAAATGACCTTCTGAGAGTACGGGGACTGCAAGCCCAACGCCTTGAGATTCTCCCTAGAGGAGAGTGATCAGGATGGACTTGGGTGATCCCAACCAAGGACCAGGACAAGAAGGAGATACCAGTTCCTTTAATAGAAAACATCATGGTGGAAAGAGATTAAGTAAGTAGGTAGGTCTACACACCATGATTGACCTCTTGAAGTAGTGGTTCTGGTTCTTTGAGGCTGTAACTGTGAAAATTTGTACTGGCCCAGCCCTACTGAGCACAAGTTACATCCTAGGAAAGATGGATTTCGGGGAATCTAAGAGGACACAGACCAACTTGTGAGTGGTACATTCCTGGGTCAGGGAATGTCAGAGAACCACTGTGTCTGGGACAGCTGCTGGAAGAAGGAAATTTATCCCCTCCATTATCATGTGTGTGTTAACCTATTTAGTTTGTATCTTCCTGAGGGAGAGGCCTAATGCCATCTTTCCCACTTGGTAGCCTGGTACTGCATCACAGAGCTACCAGCTTTAGGGGATGGTTATGGCATCATCTAGCTTCCTGGAGTATAGAAGCCATGACAATGTGCCCTGTACACCTCCTTCTACAGGGAGTGGGACTGAACCAGGGCCCTAACTATGGCACTTTTAAGTCCACTGCTATTTGCACAATGACACTACTTTCCAAGAGCTGCTTGCTGTGGATGATAGGTTGTGGTGGGAGGACTCCATCCTGGGAGACACAGGACTTCTTTGTTGGCTGACTCAGGCACAAAGACTTCCCAGGGGCTTTGCGGAGGCTTCCTTAGGCTGCCTGGCAGTCTGACCTGCTCCCTCCTACACTTCTCTCCTCATCCCCTTCACTGAGTCAGGCCTACATTGTGATCTGACTGCTAACCCAACCTTGTCCTGCTCCCTCTCTAGGTCCTTTCACATAAGCATTTCCTTCAAGAAAATCCCTACAACATTTAACACTATCTTGGTGTCTGCTTCTCAAGGACCATGACTAACACAGAAGGAACATCTGAATTGCATCCTGCAGGAACAAAGTGGAAGAAGCTGGACTGTCCCCTGGATATAAATCAGCACCCTGAAGATTTCTTGAGATTATCGTAAGTATGGAGACCAGGGAACACTATATAGAGGTTCAAGTTGATAAATTGCTATCTATGAATTTACCTTGTATGCAGCACTTTAAAATAAATAAATATCCATTTTACAAGTTTAGGCCAGAAGGGAAGCATCAAGGCAAAAATCCATTCCCTCTCCCCATAACTGAAGGAAAAGTGGGAGCAGATGATGTGTACCATGCAGCAGGCCAGTGTTGCCTTGGCTGTGATTGCCTCCCAAATGAGCATTCAGAGTAGCCCATTGTGACCTTCAAACTCGGCTGGGTTTCCATGTGTAGGGAGTTCAGGAATTTCCACTAGATCCTGCTGGCTGGACCCTATACCTCCAAAGGCCTGATAATGTTCTCTAGGTGATGCTACACACATGGGCCCTCCACATTCTGTCTGGCCTCACCAGGAGTAGAATGAGACCACTCTTTTCAGACAAGAGCTTTCTACCCAGTGCCAATCCACATATAATTGGTAGCAAAAATTTCACTCCTTCAAGTACTCATTACATGCCAGCCACTGTGCAAAGCATTTTACATTTTATCTCATTCATCCATTCATTTATTCATGCAACACATTTATTAAGTATACCTCCTATGTGCTATCACTCCCCAAAGATAGAGCAAGCCTAAAAAGTCCCACCACATAAAACATATGTTCTAGTGAGGGAGAGAGACACAGTAAAAAAAAAAAAAAGAAAGAAAGAAAACCAACATAGACGTATGTTTTGAGTAATGATAATTACTGTAAAGAAAGCAAAAGCAGAGTGAGGTTCTAGGGAGGCATGGGCAGAAGGGTAGGGTGTATATTACACAGAATTGAAAGGAAAGCTCTTCTGAGGAAGTGATATAACAGCAGAGACCAAAAAGAATTGGGAGCATTAGCTGGGTAATCATCTGAGCAAGGACAGTTCATTTAATCTCCCTCCATCCACACCACAAACCCATGAAGCACAAGGCATTATCCCCCTATTACAGAAGAACCATCTTAGAGAGGTGATATACTCAGCGAGATCACTCTCCAAGCCAGTGTGATTAACCTTTATACCTCACCATCAAGGTGAGCTCCAGAAACTTCCCACTTATATTCTAAAATCATTGAGAGAGGCCAGGTTTTATGTCTCCCCTATTCTTCCTAACACCCTTTGTGCCCTTTCCAATCTCAATGTCTGGTTGCGGGGGAACCACCTAAGATACTATGGAATGCTGGCCATGCTTATTATGATCATCAATCATCATTGTTGTCATAATAGCTTTTTCTACCCAAAGTCCTGGTGGCTGGGGAAAGGGACAGTAACAGAGACCCCAAGAAGTTGTATTTCCTCACAACAGTTAAGCAGCATGGGCAGAGGTCCCTATGGGGAGGTTCTAAAACCAGCCTTCACAAGAAAAATTGTGACTCACTAAATCCATTTATGTTGGTCTTGCTGCAAAGAAAATCCTTCTCTCCTGGGTAATAACGGAGCCCCATAAATAGATTCTAAACTTCTATCCATTCTCCAAAAATAAACTGGTGGAACTGGTAGTTCTTTTACATTATCACAGTGAGACATATCATTAGCTCTATTAGTCATTTGATTTTTGCCTTCTTCCCATCGCCCACTTTATTTGCATCCCCATCTAATCAAGAAGCCCATGTGATAATAAAGTTCCAAGCCTATGTTTCCATGGTTTCCCAAGCCCTGAATAACCAGGATCCTCTTACTCTGTTACCAATAAACTTTGGAGGGTTTTTTTTTTTTTTTTCATGAGCAGACACTATTTCACAAGTTTCGTTTCTTGCCTATGATCAAAATATGTTTCACTAAGCTCTGTAATCACAATACAGCTGTTCACAGGGTGTGTCAATAAGATAATGAGCATTTGTGCCTAACAATCTATAAGCTAAGAGCTGACATAACCCTGAGGGTAGGGATCCTCTTGATTAACTCAGTCCATATTTAATTCCACATAGCACCATCCTTAATAAAAGCTTACTATGATTATTGTGACAGTTTGTAATTACAAGCTCAATATGGTTTGGAAGTAGTATTTATACATTTTTCCACTCAACCAATGGGATATTTTTTGATATACAAGTTGAAATTCATACCTGCTAGACTTTGTATACCTTGGAAGCTTCATTTCCTTCCCAATTCTCATACTGCTGCTAGTCAACTAAGTGACAAAGTTGAAAGTCTAACAAACATTGAACATTATCCACACAATTTATTTAATTCAAGAATGGACAACTGTCCTTGAAGTCCGTGTCTCTTTGGAGCCTGATGAGCCTGGTAAACCCTGAGAGAAGTTTGAAGAAGCTGTAACACCTTCCCCTGCACATAGATCTATCTCTCCTGCTTTCACCTAGTGAGTTTTGATTGACCAAGTTTTCTTAGGTGTGCTTTATGTGTTTGATAAGGGCTTACAGAGTGGCCAGGCACTGATCAGAAATCCTCCTAGAGTATAAAAGCTAGAATGTATTTAATAAGGTAAAATAATGATTTGACAGGCCAAATACAGTATTTTCAGAATATGCTTTATTAGATTCAATTGTATTTTTCCACCTTTTTTGAAAAAAAAAAAGATAAACTGGACATGCAGGGATTAACCTGTGAGCCAGGAACAGAAGAAATCCACATAAACAACCAGGTAAATAAGACTTCAAGATCTTTTCATCCTAGTGGTCTACTGCTATTCTCATTAGCCCAAACTGTAATGTTTCCCACTTTATCCTGACTCTAAGGTCTGGCGGTTCTGAGCTTGTCTGAGAAATCTCTGCTTAGTCCATGACCTCAGAATTGTAATCTCTCACAATTAGGATGGAGAATAAAAGACACATGGCATTGCATTCCCACCAAGCACCCACTGCTCAGTGCAGAGTCTGGAATGTGTCAGCATCTTGGTTGGCAACACTCTGGGTGCTCTCTAAGTTGTCACTATCTTAAATGATGCCCATGACTATGTGCGATAGTCTGGATATGGGCTTAAAGTGCCAAGTACAGTGGGATTTCAAGACAATACCACTTAGTCTATATCTGTATCCCAGGAAAGGAACAACAGTTTACTAGCTAACTTTCAATGCCAACTGACAATGGGAAAATGTAATGAATTCTCCTGAACTTTTTTCCACAGAATTCCTATTAAGCAAGCTCTTTCCATCTATTAATGGTTGTTTATAACTGGCTTATGATGATTTATGATTCCATGGCAGTAATAAGTCTTTTAAAGGGAAATAACAAGAGTCAAAAAAAAAAAAAGTTATAGGGCACCTGGGTGGCTCAGTCGCTAAGCGTCTGCCTTCAGCTCAGGTCATGATCTCAGGGTCCTGGGATCTAGCCCCACCTCAGGCTCCCTGCTCGGCAGGAAGCCTGCTTCTCCCTCTCCCACTCCCCTGCTTGTGTTCCCTCTCTCGCTGTGCCTCTCTCTGTCAGATAAATAAATAAAATCTTTAGAAAAAAAAAAAGTTCTATGAAGAGGAAGTTCGCTGTGTCTCTTATCATTTCAACTATGCAGTCATAGAAATGTTTGTTCTTAGGGGCTTTCCAGAACACAGCCTTAGCCTCTGGGCTCCTTTTCCACTCTTAGGTATACTACTTGGCTGTGCTAAGGATCTGTAAGACAGTAGATGTGAACACAAGGAGACAGAATGTGGGTGGAGTCGGCAGGGGGGGTGGGGGCAGTCACTGCCCAGAGAATCAGAAGATCTGGATTCTAATCTCAGCTCTGCTGTGAGCCAGCTGCAAGGCTTGAGGCTAACTATTCAGTCATTATGAGCACTGGTTTCCCATTTTATAAAAAGAGGGGGCGGGCTTAGATAATCAGCTTAATTCTATGCCAATGATAGAAATGTTTGGGACATGTCTGCATTTAAACAGCTCTTCCTCCTGGGTGGGTCCAGTGAGATCCCCGTGGTGGAGCTGGCGTGGTACTGCCCACTGGATGGGGAGATGAGGAGCTCTGGAATCCCACCCTAAAGTAAATGTCCTCTGCTCAGAGACCACTCCTGCATCTGTCAGGAGGGAAAAAACCAAGCCCTTCTCTCAGGTTCTTGATAAGACCTGTTATTCCAAACAGAGGGCATGCGTGGGCAGTCTGTTCCTGTACCCCTTCTGCCCTTCAAATACTTTGCATATATCAAAGCCTTTTCCTTACCACTCAGGACTATATGGCACTCAAACTCATGTGCACACTAAAGCAAGGACATTAATGCAAGACTTTCTTACTGCTTCTTCTCACGTGAAAAAAACATCTGGTTTTGAGGTACACCTAGGTGGCTCAGTCAAGCGTCCAACTCTTGGTTTTGGCTCAGGTCATGATCTCATGGGTCATGGGATAGAGCTCCATGTCAGGATCCTCACTCAGAGGGGTGTCTGCTTGAGATTCTCTCCCTCGCCCTCTGCCCCTCCCCCTGCATGCACTTGTGCATGCGTTCTCTCTCTAAATAAATAAATCTTTAAAAAAAATAAAAACCTGGTTTTCCTTATCACATAATAAACACACATTTGTGAAAAAACAGGTAGAGAAGAAATTTTTAATTCATTAACCCACTATTGAGAGTTTATCAGATTTTGTGTACATTATTTCAGAATTGTGTGTATGTAACACATACACATACATTTTTAAATGTGAGAATTCACCAATTGGGTATCATTTAAACTGGATATCCACATGCAATGACTTTGCACTCTTACCTCACATTATACATACAATGTCACCTCGTCAATAAAGCCTCCCTTGAGGCACCTGGGTGGCTCAGTTGGTTAAGCGTCTGCCTTCGGCTCAGGTCATGATCCCAGGGTCCTGGGATGGAGCCCCACATCAGGCTTCCTGCTCAGCAGGGAGCCTGCTTCTCCCTCTCCCTCTGCTGCTCCCCCTGCTTGTGCTCTCTCGCTGTCTCTGTCAAATAAATAAAATCTTTAAAAAATAAAAAAAAGCCTCCCTCACTCCTGCCACATTCTGAAGTCTAAATGCTAACTCCCTCCTTGATTGCTTCATTATAGCTTGCACATACTTAGCTTAACAGTAATAACCTCACAGATTTAAATTTAAGATGGGAATATTTCCTGACAGCTTTTCCAGATTTTTTGCTACTTAGGCATTTTCTTCACATAAAATAAAAAAGTCATAAATTTGTAGGGGACTGCATTTACTTTGTTCCTTTTCCCATCTAGTCACCACAATAGGATTTTTCACTCATCCTGGTGACACCATTCAGCCTCTGCATGACTGCAACAAATACCATTTCACCCAAGTATCATAACAGCCAGGCCACTGATCCCTTCCTCTAGCTTTACACAGAATAATAGCATTTGTCTACCAATTAGCTCTGATCGGCATCACAGTTATCAATATTTTTATTCTGTAGGCTCGATAGAGCACCAGCTGTGTCCAGCAAGTGTCCAACAAATGTAACAACAGTGGCTTCCAGCCAAGTGTGCAACGAAGATTTTCGACAAGAATAGATTCCCCGTGGAGTCTAAGGACAAAAGTACATAAACATGGACTAACATTCTGGCTGTGGCAGAGGAAAATCCTCTTGTCCTCAAAGAGGTTCAAAGGCTCACATGGAGAAAAGTGAGTGCTCTGTTGTTATCTGACTCAAGGGACCGCCCCAAGAGGCTAGCATGCTGTCCTTGCCAAGGTGGCTGGGCCTTCACCACTGGGGCCTTTGAAATCCGACAGCAGAGAACCTCAGGGCCCCCTCCTCCCTGCTCTCCTGGGACTTCTCCGTCACATATTACCAGAGAACCAGCCGGTTGTGAGTCTCTGGGACAGTCTTCCACCACTCACCCACACATGCTCACCACACTTGCTTTATAGCAGAAGCATCAATGGTGCTTTATTGAAATTGACATGAAAAACAACAATGTCTCATCTCATCTGTTCTAGGAAAAAGCCACCAGTCGTCCTCCCTCCAAGTCACCTCAGTGCAACTGCCAGGAACATAAAAAATGCAAATATGATCATTTGACCCACCTGATTAGAAACTGAGGTTAGAGAACCCCGGGCAGCAGCCTGAAGTCCCAAAGTCCTTTGCAAGGCATTCAAGGGCTTTCACAAGCTAGCATCAGTCCATCTTTCCAGCAATAGCCTCAGCTTATCCCCATAGAATGTAAATTTGCATAGCCACTACAGAAAACAATATAGAAATTGCTCAAAAAATCAAGAATAGAAGTACCATACCATCCAGCAATTCCACTTCTGGATATTTATACAAAGAAAAACACCAATTCTAGGAGATATATACACCCCTATGTTTTTTGTAGCATTATTTATAATAGCCAAGATATGGAAGCAGCCTGAGTCCATTGATAGATGAATGGATAAAGAAAATGTGGTATGTATGTAGGTATGTATACATATATATGGATTATTACTCAGCCATTAAAAAAAAAGAATGAAATCTTGCCATCTGCAACAACATGGATATACCCAGAGGGTATTATGCTAAGTGAAATACTCTATGATTTTACTTATATGTGGAATCTAAAACACCAAACAACAAACAGAAACAGACTCATAGATATAGGAAACAAACTGTTGGTTACCGGAGGGAGAATGGGGCTGGTTGAGGGGGCGGGGGCAGTGAAATGGGTGAAGGGGATTAAGAGATACAAACACCTGGGTGGCTCAGTCGTTAAGAGTCTGCCTTCGGCTTGGGTCATGATCCCAGGGTGCTGGGATCGAGCCCCGCATCGGGCTCCCTCCTCTGTGGGAGGCCTGCTTCTCCCTCTCCCACCCCCCCGCTTGTGTTCCCTCTCTCACTGTGTCTCTCTGTCAAATAAATAAATAAAATCTTTAAAAAAAAAAAAAACTTTCAGTTGTAAAATAAACAAGCCATGGGGATGTAATGTACAGCCTAGAGAATATAGTCAATAATATTGTAATAACTTCCTTTGGTGACAGAGGGTAACTAGACTTACTGTGGGAATCATTTCATTATGTATAAAAATACTGAATCACTATGACGTACACCTGAAACTAATAGGATAATGTATGTCAATTATACTTCAATCAAAAAAAAAAAGTTTCTCTCCATGCCCTGTGTGTTCTGGCCTCCCCAGACAGCTCACAGTCTCCTTAAGATATTGCACATTTTCATTATATGTGATTTTTCCTTTCACTATTTAACTTACCTAAGAGCTATCCCCACACCTCACTTCGTCCACCTGACAAACTCCCAATGATTCTTTGATAAACAGCTCAAATGTTACTCACCCCTCTGATGCTTTCTCCAACTATCCAAGGTCAAATGAGCCAGCCCTTCCTTCTGTGCACCTATGTATTGCCTTTTGCTTATTTTCCTAAGTCAGTAGGTGGCAGAGCCAAGACTCAAGCCAGGTCTTCTGGTTCCAAATCTTAAGGTGTCTTTGCTATGCTGTACTACCAGTGGAATCATGCTTTAATTCAGAATTCTTAGTGGCTGCCCAGTGGTGGGTACTCAGTAAGTGTGCATTCAATGAATGAATGACAATGTATAAGTAACTTCTACTATCATCCTCACACTCCCTCCTCCAAAGTAGAATTTACCAAGGAAGCTTGGCTTCTTTTTTTTTTTTTTAAAGATTTTTTTTATTTATTTATTTGAGAGAGAGTGAGAGAGAGAGAGCACAAGAGGGGGGAGCGGGAGAGGGAGAAGCAGCCTCCCTGCCAAGCTGGGAGCCCGATGCGGGACTCGATCCAGGGACTCCAGGATCATGACCTGAGCCGAAGGCAGTCGCTTAACCAACTGAGCCACCCAGGCGCCCGGAAGCTTGGCTTCTTAGATGCATCCAACTCATGGGGTACTATGTATCATGTAAGCATCCCGCAATTTAGGACTACCACAACTATGTTCCATGTAATTATTCTAGTCCTCTGATGAAGCGCATGCTGCCTGTTTGGCCAAAGACAAGGGAAAGGAGAAAAAGAGAGTAGTGTCTAATGTCCAGGGAGAAGCCTGGCCCAAAGAAACATTTCCATTTCAACTCCCTCTGAGCATTTGAGCCCTGCAGGGGCCAGCGGCCAAGTCTGAACTGAAAGTATCACGTGTTTGAGAGACAGAAGCCAGGGTGTCATGGCAATATAAATACAAGGACAGATAGGACAAGCTGGCCCAAAGGAGAAACGCCAAGCCCAAGCCTTGGACCATCCGTCTACTCTCTGTCAACGAAAAAAAAAAAAAAGTAGAGGACAAAAAGAAAAAATAAACTTCTTAATTTCAACTTTGTATAAAAAAAAAAAAACTCTTCAAGAAGCAGCAAATAAAATCCTACAACTCACTGGGTACTGAGTAGAACATTGAGATACCAACCCTTCAGGGAAGAATAAATAAGCAATTCAAAATGGGGTTTCCTGCCCTCAATTTAGAGCTTGAAGTCGTCCATTCTGCCAGCAGTATTCTGTCTGCCAACCTACCTGCAAAGAAAGGTGCCATTTAAACCTTCACATCCACCAAGATGGCTGCCATACAAAACCCACACTCACAAGCTCCCCTCAAAGCCTGGTTTGGAAGAAGGAAAAAGCAAAAGAAATACTCTGGCAGGTCTTCTGGACTTTAGGAATTCCACAAGCAAAGACATTGCCAAGATCTACTTGACAGGATGTATAGAGTTAATAAAGTGAGTGTTTGCAGAAATTCCAAATTGTTAAAAAAAAAAAAAATCTCATGGTTTTAAAAAATCAGTATAGTTTGAATGTAGGGATAGTCATGGTCTGCTGGAGATGTGATATTATAGAGCCTTGGGCTGTCCTCACACCCGTGCATTTGGAATGGCCACTCTTGAGGACTATGAATTAGAAGACTGGTTTAAGGCAATATTGTTGCCCCATGAGGGAAGATGCCAGCCAACAAAACACAGAATGCCACAGCCCAAGGAACAAGGTCAGAACTGGCTTTGATTATAAACTGTCTAGGACAGGACTAAGTGTCTTTAGGTCCCACACAATATAAATATTTTAGAAGTTTGCGGTTGAGTTTGTTTTGTTAAAAAAGGAACTCTGGTGCTTAACTTGTTCCTTTCACAAAAAAAAAAAAAAAAAAAATTCTACAAATCAAAGATGCACTAACATCTCCCTTATTCTTCTTCACATGACAAGAAAAAGTGGCATACAGAGAAGTAGAAGTCAATGGTCCTAAGTGCTAAAAGGAAAATTTTGTTCCCTGCTCTAATATCATCATATTAGAGATGTGCACTCTCCTGAGTTTCTTGGATTGCCATGAATTCATATAGCATGGCAGGAATTGCATTCTTTTAGCAAGGAGTTATTGAGCACTCCTACTGTGAGCTAGCCATGGTGCTTCATGGCAGGAATGCAAAAATGAATAGAAAATGCCCCCTACTCTCAAGGGGGTCATTAGGTGAATTTCATCCCGGTTGACCACTATTGCCCTCATTCTAGCCCGCCAGGATCCTTGCCTTCTGCTCATTTCCTCTCTGATCTTACATGACTTGATCTGTCCCCTCCATGTTAATGGTTCTTGGATCTCTAAACCCAACCCTGATGTCTAACCCTTCGTAGCTTGTATAAACCCAACCATTTCAGACGGTTGTCCTACCACTGCTTCAAGCATGAACTGATGCAGGCACCCTACTTTCCCAAGCAGCCCACCCACCCAAACTGGCTCACCTTCCTAACCGTCCCATTCTCTTCAATACTAGTCCCATTCTTTGCCCTTTATTCCTATCCTGTCACTGGGTCCTAGCACTTATCCTTTAGATTGGGTTACAGTCTTTCTCAGCTTTCATCACGTAGGTTTATGCCTCATTAGCTAACAAAGTGACTGGCCTCTCTGCTCCTTCCAAATCACTTTTGTATGACTTGCAAGATTTTTTTAAAGCAATGATCACTTTCCTATTCATAAAATTTGGTGGTTTGCTCTTGCCTGTCTTAAAAAACATACACTCTTTTATAACTTTCTATAGCCTGACCTTTCCCTCTCTGTACCAATGTTATTTCCAATGACCCTCCTTACCCTCGACCTCTATTCTCATCAAGCTGGTTCCCACCTTAATGCCTTTATTGAGCCTGTCCTCCATCTCACCAAATCACAGCCATCATCCATGCCACGATTCACTTAATCAAGTATTCACCTAGTACCTACTGTGTAATACGCACTATGCTGGACCCTAGAAACAGCAGAACTGAAGTCACAGGTCTTACATTCTACTTAATGGGCCTTATATCTACTGTTGGAACAATTAGCCAACCTCCTGAGAAAATGCTTGATACTTTTCTCATACTTTATTCTGTTAAAAAAAAAAAAAAACACCTTGGCAAATAATTTTTAAGTAATTTTTGAAAAACAATATAAGTATTATAAAGTTATAATTGATTGGGAATGGATTGCCAAAAATTGGTAATATAAATGACAGAATATAAAACTTATTTAGAGTCTTATCACCTCCCCCCATGAAACCTGGTAAAACAAACCTGTTTCAAAGATTTATCCATTACAGAATTTTCCTTTAAATATCTATGGTATGAGTATTAGGAGTTCAGTACTTAACTTAGGCTTTTTTGTTTTGTGCGTGATAGCTTTTGCCCTCTGAACACTAATAGTCTTGACAGGGACACACAGCTTTTTCTTGTATTTCTTCTGTAGCCCTCACAATAAGCAGGAAGGAAGCCTCACAGGTATACCAGAGTGGATGAAACAACATCCAAACTCAAAAGTTTACATTTAAAAACAGATCTATATAATTTCAAGCCTCATCCTCAATCTGAAAATTCATACCAGCAAGCTCTATTCTCAACATCCATCAACATTTTCAGCTAGAAGAAAATCTGACTCTTGAGATTGGCCTCCTTTTCAAGTCTTTCCTGCCCAGAATCATGAGCATGGGCAAAAGAGCAGAAAAGCAATGGATAATTAATATGTGAGCTCAATTATATAGCGTCGTTTCATTTCTCTAAACATTTTTATCATTTGGACCTCCAATGAACTTGTCACCAGATATCATGTGGGCTTTTGGAGCCAAAATCTCCAGAAGTTTTTGACATGACTCTTAGTTTCTGACAACTATTTTTAGTGAAATAACATCGCTTTTGCTTCTGTGACATTTCCCAAAACAGCAGTAAATCTGAGATCAGACAGAAGGGAATTTTATTTTGATGCAAACTTTTGCTCAATGAGAGCCAACAGATGGCCCTATTATGTGCATTCAAGTCCCAAGAAAGAAGCTGGGTGATTCAGAAGGAGTCAGGTCACACTGTGTTCTTCTTTGGGACAACAACTCACCTGGACCGGGAAATGGGAACCAAAAAAGATAAACAGGGTTGACTCTTAATTTCAAACTTGGTCTCAAAGAAATGAAAAGCCACTGATCCACTCTAAATGAAACGGAACATGACAAAAAGCCAGTTCACTTCAACAACAGCCTCTGTATTTCTAATCCTTCCTCAGAGCTACCAAGTACATTCTGGAAGGGCTATTTAGATCCAAGCTAAAGTTAGAAGGGAGTGAAAACTCTGGGAATTCTGACTATACAAAATCTTGATGCTATTCAAAGTTTTCTCACATTTGGGGCACCTGGGTGGTTCAGTCAGTTAAGCGTCTGCCTTCGGCTCAGGTCATGGTCCCAGGGTCCTGGGATCGCTCAGGTCATGGTCCCAGGGTCCTGGGATCGCTCAGGTCATGGTCCCAGGGTCCTGGGATCAAGCCCCATGTCAGGCTCCCTGCTCAGCAGGGAGTCTGCTTCTCCTTCTCCTTCTCCCTGCCCCCTGCTTGTGTTCCCTCCTCGCTGTCTGTCAAATAAAATCTTGAAAAAAATTAAAAATAAAAATAAATAAATAAAAGATGCCAGAAATGGCGAATTCCAGTCTTAGGCAGAAAAAACAGGAGTCGTCAGAGGAGAAGGGGGAAGGAGAACAGCAAGAGAGCAGGGAAGAGGGAGAGAAAAATCCCCCAGCGCTCTCTCTCACTATCTCTCACCCTCTCTCAAATAAATAAATAAAATCTTTAAAAAAAATTTTTTTCTCGGGGCGCCTGGGTGGCTCAGTCGTTAAGCGTCTGCCTTCAGCTCGGTCATGATCCTAGGATCCTGGGATCGAGCCCCGCATCGGGCTCCCTGCTCGGCAGGAAGCCTGCTTTTCCCTCTCCCACTCCCCCTGCTTGTGTTCCCTCTCTCGCTGTGTCTCTCTCTGTCAAATAAATAAATAAAATCTTTAAAAAAAAAAATTTTTTTTTCTCACATTTTCTCATTATTTGCTGCTCTTTAGTCATGTGTGTACGTCTACTTCCACAACCCCAAGGAGTCATTGTCTATCAGTGAGTAAGCCATAGTGCAAACTGGTTTCAAACATTTCCTCAATGATCCAACATTACAATCATGAGGTTTTTCTACAAATGTTATCTGTAAAACTCTGAGCTGAGCCTATGAGTGATCTCTTTGAAATATGAAGTGGGAAACTGAAACACAGAATCAGTGGGCTCTAGGGAAAGAGCTGAGGGTGAGCGGACTTGTGGCCAAGGGGCCATTATAGATCATGGACAAGCTGAAACCATGGGAAACTGGGCTGGTAGAGAGAGGAACATGATATACAGAGAAAAGCAAGAACATCACAAATGAGAGACCACAGAGCCTCCATTCCATGAGGCTGGCTGTACTTCACTCCTTACTCTTGGAGTCTCAAAAGGACACTCTATGTCCCTCTAATCCCCCTATAATCTGTCCTATAAATCCTCCTTTCCATGGATTAAAATGACTGTATCTATTTCTTAAAACCAAAGAGCTGAAGCCCAAAATCATTGGTGTGGCTATAAATGAGACTTGTACACCCTTTGTAATCATGAAGGGGATCAGTTTCCCAACCCTGTTTGGGATACTAAACAGGTTTAGTATGACAAAAATGATTTTAAAAATTGCTTGGCATGTTAAAAATAGATTACCAGGCACCTTCCCTAAAGATTCAGACTCCAAAGTTCCAATTCAGGCCCAAGAATATGCAGGTGACTCTCTTGATCAGGCTAGTGTGGGTCACAGTAGAGAAGGTGAATTCTGAGATCCTTTTCATCACAAGGTCAGCAAGTAGGAACTAACCTCTCCTTCACAGACAGCAGTAGTTGAAGTGAACAGATGTGGAATCAAAGACATATTTCTTGTCTTTAAGAAAAAATCCTTTCCTGGAAGACACTAGACGAGGCCAATCAACAGAGGAAGCTTTAGAGACCGAGGAACAAAGCCAAAATATGTGGGGGTGTGTGTGCATTTGTGTGTGCGTGCACTTTGATCTCATTTTAGAGATTAGGACAAATTCTCCCAAAAAAACATTTGAACTATGTCTGCATTATATAATTAAATCCATATAACTCGATAAATATATGGGTTCTACACCCCCCCCCCAACACACAGAGCTGTATAGTGCATGGTTAACATGTTGCAGGGAGATGCCTGAGTTATTTGAATTAGACCAAGAGGAAAACAAAGCAAGTATGGTCAGGAAGAAGATTTGAAAATCAAGATTCTAAAAGAACAGTACAGACCTTATTTAAGACAATTCATTTCAGTTCTACAAAGTTACTGTGAAAAGTACTAAATCCAGTTTCTAGGCACAGTGTGATCCAAATCCGTAAGAAAGGCCTCGTGGGACTTTGGAAGAACAGATGTAAGCTTCAGGTTGATGTGGGCCTTTGCTTTGCTCAGCTTCTAGTTCTAATAGGAGCTACAAACAATCTCATGACTCCTTCTTAGAGAGCTCTCTTCGGAAAGTAATCTAACCTCCTGCTCTGAAGCCCCAGAGGCCCTGGGACAGGCAATGTGCCAACACAGTTAGGAGCTTAATACTTGAATCTGATGGTTGTTAGTTGTGTGACCTTAGTGGGCAAGGTCTGTTTTATCCGAGTGTCATTTTTCTAATCTAAAGAGACTAAATGATACTAGATCCCTTTTAAAAGTCCTGGAAGAACGAAATCAGATAATATATGGACAGCACTTACCGTATCTGACACATAGTCAAAATCAATAAATGTAGCCATCTGCATCTTTAGGAGATTGTGCCAGAAGGGCGCATGGTGATCAATCAACACAACTCTCTCATTGTGCAGATAAAGAGACTGAGGTGGCTGGGGCGATAATTTGCCAACTACTGACTGACCAAATTTGGGAAAGATGAACTATCCAGTTAGTGTTCTAAGAAAACCATTCAGTTGTATTTGTTTGATAACACTGTAACTCCAACAGGAACTGAATCAAAATTACAGTCTTTAAGATAATCTCTGGAACTGATTGGAATTTGTCATATTTTTGTAGAATATTTTTAAGGATATTCTCAGTTTTACTTATTAGGGACAGCAAACCAAAAGTAGGTCCTCTTTGAAAAATCTTTTCTTTGCATAAATGAAATCTGCTTTAAACACAACAACAACAATACAAATATTGCTTAACACCAGAAGATGGGACAGAGACTGGCTGTAAAAGTGGCAGCTATGGGACTGGAAGTCAGAGCAGGCTCACTGGAAAGGGACATAGGGCGGAGGTCTGCGCGGTATGAAGAAGGCAACTGGGCAAACACATGGGCAGATGGAACAGCAAGTGCAAGGTCAAAAAAGGTCAGCGCAAGTTCCAAGGTCAGAGAAGCATGGTCTATTTCAAGAGTTGTAAAGTACTCCAATATGGCCAAAGCCAGTTAGAAATGGAGGCAGGGGGTGGGGGTGGTCCAGGATCACCAGAACTGTGGAAAGAGCTGCACACAGTGTCTACACAGTGCTTAGCAGACGACCGAGATCATAAATACTCTTCTGAAGGTCAGAGCCTATGTTTGTAAGTCATCAGATATCACTCCCAGCAGATGGTGAACCCTCAGTAAATGGTGTAAATCAGTATAAAATCCTTAACATAGTGCATGGCACATAGTAAGCACTCGAAACCACCTTTTGAAAAAAACAAAATATCGTCATCAATGATATGTGTAATAGATACCTGTGCCTTTGTTAAAGGAATGAGCAAACACGCAAGATAGTAATGAGTAGATGGAGCCATGGAAAACCCGGGTACTGTTTTTGCCTATTCCTAATACTTAACTACTAGCAAAGTAATTTTCTACAGTGGCAAAGGGAGTTTTTTTAGAGAAATAATAGTTACTCTGTATTGAGGAGCTGTGAGTAGTAGGGCCAAAATATGGGCAGGAATCTGTGTGATTAAACTTTGTGCTTTTTACCATTCGACTCTTGGCTTCAGCTCAGGTGGTGATCTCAGGGTTGTGAGATCAAGCCCCACATCTGGCTTCACACTCAGCACAGAGTCTGCTTAAGACTCTCTCTCCTCTGCCCCTGCCCCCCTTGCATTTTTTGCTTGCTCACTCTCCCTCTAAAATAAATATATCTTAAATATGTATATTTAAAAAAAAACCTGTGCTCTTTGCTTCATGCTTGATGGCTACATCCAACATTTTTTTCTTGATAACATAAAGTCATCCACACTTTATACTTTAATTTGAAGACATAGTTCACAAAGCCCTACAACAAAGCCTATTCTTCACGACAAACCTCTGATAGGGGCGCGCCTGGGTGGCTCAGTTGGTTAAGCATCTGCCTTCGCCTCAGGTCATCATCCCAGGGTCCTGGGATCGATTCCGCATCCGGCTCCCTGTTCAGCAGGGAGTCTGCTTCTGCCCCTCCCCCTGGCTCATGTGCACGTGAATTTTCTCTCTCTCAAGTGAGTAAAAATCTTAAGAAAAAAAAGACAAACTGCAGATAAACTCGAAGAGAAACCCCAGCAAAGGGAACTAATACTGGTTGAACACCCATGATCTCTGTCTTCTCACTAATTGCCCCCAACTTTCAAAGGCGGGCATTGTCATCATCAGCTGTTATACACGTGAGGAAGCCACCAGGCAAAGACAGGAAATCATTCTCCTGGAATCACACAATCAGTAGGTGAGAAAGCAGGAATTTGAGGCTAGGCCTCTTGTCTGCTCCACGTCAGTGCCCTGAAAGCCAGTGGTGGGCTGCAGCACCATCAGAAGCGGTCCTCACACACCGGCCTGGAGCCAGGCTGCACAGGAGGAGGGACAATCCTGCCCCTCTTGGTGCCATCAAAAGACAAACTCAGCACATTTTCAAATTTCAGATTACAGGGTAAAAAGTATTTTAATGACTTTAGCCCTGCAATAAGTCAAGACTCCCCCTTCCTCTCCAGAAAAACACAGACCCTTCCAAATGTCTCCCTAGGGAGAAAATAAACCTCTCACTCTTGTTTCTCCCAAATAAACTCAATTTCTTTGTGGAAAAAAGAAAATCAATCTCTTTCATCAAAAGATTGGATTGAACCAATATCCTTTGCTTTTTCCAGGTATCCTTTTAATTAGACTCCCTCCCAGGCAAAAGCAGGGAACATGGCCTCCCCCGAAGCACCATCAGGGGACCCCAAAGACTAGCCTCCTCCAAATAGGGTCTCTGCAGTCCCATCCAGCAGGCCCCACTCTGCAGCAGATGAGCCAGAGATCTCCCACCTGATGGAAAAGACAAACCAGTAGCTCTAACAATCTCACTTGAGACCAGATGAAAAGAGGGCAGGAGATACAAAGACTCCAAAATCATAGCGAGAGGCTCTTACTCAAAAGTCCATCTCAGAAGCTCAAAACTCCATTTTTAGCTAGATGTGGTGGTCACCAGAAGAGACCCAGAAGGCTTAGACACATTACAAGTGGGAAAAGCAAAGGAAGACATGGTAAGCCAGGTAAGGCCTGGTACCTCAGCCTAGAAGGTTTTATTTTCACTCAGGCTCATGAACAGAGTTGCAACTCTTCTCCTCCAAGGTTTCTCAAGGATCCTTGGTGTTATGAGGACAAATACCATGCCAATTTTAAAGAGAAACAGAGATAAGAAAGTGATTGGCTCAGGACTTCTGGGGAATTTTCTCAGGAAATAGGAAAAGAACTTATGTTGAACCAAGTCATTCACTCTGGAGTCAGGAACTCATGTTAGAATCTGAGGACTACATCGACAGATGAATGGATAAAGAAGATGGGTGGTATATATATACAATGGAATATTATGCAACCATCAAAAGGATGAGATCTTGCCATTTGCAATGACGTGGATGGAACTGGAGGGTGTTATGCTGAGTGAAATAAGTCAATCAGAGAAAGACATGTATCATATGACCTCACTGATATGAGGAATCCTTAATCTCAGGAAACTGAGGGTTGCTGGAGTGGGGGTTGGGGTGGG